AAGAAGTGATATTAATGTAAATTTTCAAGGAAAATTAATGTTTTATTTCATATGTATTTAAACTTATGAATTACAATGATGCAAACAAGTATTAATATAATGCCAAGTGATGGGTTACAATAGTTTATTTCTATATGATTATAATTATAATCCATAATATTTTTTTATCTAATTTATTCTCATTTGTATTAGAAAATAAATTGTTTTCTATTTGATTATATTATGATTATAGGTATATTATACAATACAATTTTATATTGAATAAATCGAATATCTAAAAATTTTTTAGATCATTAATTTTTACAATTTCAAATATTAATTTTATTTAGAACGTGATTTTAGAATATTAATTAAAATTAAATCATGTTATTAATAATGTAATATAAGAATATTATTTATATTTAATAATTTATTTTTTTTTATTTTCACCTTTTGGTACAAATTGATTACTATATATTTTATACTAATTTATAATGAAAGTTTAATCATTCGAAAATTTAATCGATGATTTAATTATGGAACATCTCTTATTATCACTGTATAAAATGCCTGACTTAATTACAAGTACTTCGTATTAAACAAACATGAAAGAAAATTATTAGATAAAGTGTTCACAAACTATTTAAAATACTTAATGGAAATAATATATATAATACATTTATTTCACAGTAGATGGCACAGTATACCAGAAACGATAAATTTGATCTTCTAACTTTCCAAACTACATGGTCTTTTTTATCAACGACAAGTTACGCATTATAGACTAAGTTTCCGTTTCCTTTCTCACTGTACTATTCTTCTTCTTGCTAAGGTATGTTGTTTTCATTATTTAATTTTCTTTTTTTTTTTAATTTTTACATAAACATCTTTTTTATTCACGTGTCGTTTGTATTCTAATTGTAAATCTGTATTCTAATTTTAATATATAACAATTGAAAATGTGATAAATTGTAAATATACTCTTAGAATATTTAAAATGGTCTACAGGTTATGTTGCCACATGGCAATATTTAAGAAATGTTTCCAATCGTTATTTTGAGATATAACCGCCAGATTCGCGTCAATTTATCTTATTTCTATTATACCGTGTTATTAAATTGATGAAACTTATAATTTTGTTTTAGTCCTTAAATTTTCGTAAGATATCCCTACGCACACGTTAAGATGGGTAGGGAGGACAAAGCAACTTGGAAATCTAATTACTTCACTAAACTTGTTGTACGTATGCATATACATTCACAAAAATATCTGCAAATGTTTTTACTATTTCTATAAATTTTATCTTAGAAAAAAATAAAAAATGTTCAAACTTTTTAGCAACTCCTAGATGACTATCCAAAATGTTTTATCGTGGGAGCGGACAATGTCGGCTCAAAGCAAATGCAGCAGATCCGTATGTCCTTGCGTGGAAACGCTGTGGTACTTATGGGAAAAAATACTATGATGCGTAAAGCTATTCGTGGCCATATTGAACGAAATGCTGCGTTGGAAAAACTATTGCCTCATATTCGTGGCAATGTTGGATTTGTTTTTACGCGAGGTGACTTGATAGAAGTACGTGATAAATTGTTAGAGAACAAAGTCAGAGCTCCAGCTAGAGCAGGTGCTATCGCACCTTTGAGCGTCGTAATTCCAGCTCAAAATACTGGTCTTGGCCCAGAAAAAACTTCTTTCTTCCAAGCTTTGAGTATACCGACTAAAATTTCTAAGGGTACTATTGAAATTATTGTAAGTATTAAACTAACTGGAAGATCAAACTAACTGGTAAACTTTCTTGACTAATATTTTTGTATCTTCTAGAATGACGTACATATTCTTAAACCTGGTGATAAAGTAGGTGCTTCTGAAGCAACTCTTTTGAATATGTTGAACATTTCTCCATTTTCATATGGTTTACTTGTGGAACAAGTTTATGATTCTGGCACTATTTTTGCACCCGAAATTTTAGATATCAAACCTGAAGATCTTCGTGAGAAATTCTTAGCTGGTGTTGCAAACTTAGCATCAGTTTGCTTAGCCATTGGCTATCCGACTGTTGCTAGCGCACCGCATAGCATTGCCAATGGTTTCAAAAACTTATTGGCTGTTGCTGCTGTCACTGATATCGCGTTTGCTGAAGCTACAACAATCAAAGAGTACATTAAGGTAAAATATTTTAATCAAATTAAATTAAACTACAAAGTTGTTATCAATACGTATATGATGAAAATATTACATGTCTAAAGGGCTTGAATCTCGTGCTAGAGCTAGAAATAGTTGAACCCACTGGCACGTCAAGTTCTCTGTTGAAGAATAGCGTGAATGCGCTGTCTGAAAATTGTCTTTTAAAGAAAAATTTATGCTCTTTTTTATGTTTAAATACTTAATTTAATATGAAATTTTCAGGATCCTAGCAAGTTTGCAGCTGTTACTGCTACTGTTGCTGCACCAGCTACTACTGCTGAAGCTCCTGTTGCAGAAAAGAAAGAAGAAAAGAAAGAGGAATCCGATTCCGAGGATGATGACATGGGCTTTGGACTTTTTGATTAAACAAGATGTTTTAACAACGGAGATACTACTGTCATTTCTTATGCCTGACGTCCGAATAAAGTGAACACTTTATAGTACACAAATAAAATATTATTAAACCTTTCTTATCCGTCTATCCTAAATATTAAAAAAATCTCTTTACAGTGCAATAAGAGACATAGATTGTAGATTATATTAATTATTTTAAGAATATTAGTATATAGAAAAAATTGATTATCGGTCATATAGTACTCCTATATAAATACATTTATATTTTCATTCATGTTGTTTTATAAAAACGTAAAAGAGAACAGTAATAAAAAATAATTTCTTTTATTCAATAATAAATAATCAATGTAACATGCATTGATGCCAAGTCGATCCTTTTTTTTTTGTAAATACTCATTTGTTCAAACGAAACTAAATTATTACTATAATCGGACATTCGCTTAATATTAACTATTTATAAATTAAAGATTCTCCTAATAGGAATATATATTATAGATACGCTCTTTACACCGTTAGAATAGTAAATTATCTAAACACAATATGATACACGTTGGTTACGTATATATTTGACTACTTGAGGAATTATTAACAACTAATTTACAATTCTTCCTCGATCATTTTCAATCCTCTTTTTTGTTTTTGTTTTTGTTTTAAGTTCTTTTACATTATTTATTATTATAATAAATTAAAATTGAGGTAATTAGAGGTTCGCATATCGTCGCAAAATAAATCTTTGTGTGGTTTTATTAAATAAATAAAATAATCATCGAAAAAATCAAACATATTTTAAACTTTTTAAAATTTATATAGTCGATCGATGATCAACAATATAAAATTAAAATTAATACAAAACGATAGGGCGATCGACCAATATCATTTTGATGAATTCTTAAAATTATCGTTCTCACAAAAATTGACGCTACCTTTTCTGCATATTCCTTTGCAGTTTTTTCTTTTTTTTTTCTTTTATTTTGGAGCATGAACTTTGTATTCTTTGACTCTCTTTGATAACTTATCACAACAGTTTGCATCTCTTTTTTCTTGTTCTACACATACCACTTGAAATTTCTTCTATCCAAGACCTAGAACGTACTTGGGTAGATTATATGCGAATCTAGGAATGGCCATAACGACGGACATCCTGAAAATAAAATCATTTGTTATTATAATTTATGATTAAATATCATTATTCTAAAATTATTAATGAATTTATACGAAAGTAAAACTTTCATTTAGTGATAAAAACATTACCACAAATAAAAAATTTGCATAACAAAACAATGCTGCCTATTTTCAAGTATTTCAGATTATAATGATAGAGACTTATTTTATAAAATTTTGTAACAAATAATTAATATTTATATCATTGTAAGATAATAAATAATAATTTATAATTTTTATTGATTTATATTTATTTAAAAGCAAGCTGTTCGATATTTAATAAAAAAAGCAAACTAGTGTAGCAGTGTTACTTACATAAAAATAGATAATACGCGATGATAGTATGAACCAATCACCATATTACAATCCATCACCAGATAGTTTAATAAATATATCTAAATTACAAAACTATTTACAAATGTTAGGTGCCAAAAAGTGAAAATTGTCATCATGAAAAATGATCATTATAAAAAATAAAAATAGCATTTGAATATATATATATATATATTCAATATATATATATATATATAATATATATATATATATATATATATATATAATATATATATATATATATATATATATATATTATATATATATATAACTATGCAGAAACATGTAATATATCTTATTCATTTATAATACATTTTTTTACTTATTTATGCTAGCTTGAACTATTACTCGAACATGAGAAACCTATGCAGCTATATGCAAAAACACGTCTGAAACATAGATAAATTTAATTAATATTTATATACATTATATTATTCTGTTTATTTATTCTGTTATAAATTAAGGTTTTCTAGCATGCACATAGTCGTTAAATTGAAATCATAATTATTCATGGTTACTCACCTATTTTTAGATAAAGAAAAAATTTATACACATTATTTATTTAAACAATTATACAAGGTAAGCATGCTAAATTAATGATAATTCAATAAATAGATTAATTAATAAAATTTCTATTATAGAATAATAGTTGTATTGTTAACTTTTTAAAATATTAACTTTGTTAATATTAAATGTATTATATATACACAGGTTAACATTATAATATATGTATATAATTTCTTTAATAATAGTTCAGTAAAAATAATCTTATACTAATTATTGATTTGTTCGCTATAGTTACTATTTATTTTAAAAACTTTGAATTTATTTTATTCGTTTTTTAGTACGAAAATATAAATATTTTGTAAAAATATATTTATATGACCATATTTTTCCGTTAAGTAAAAATATATCTATAGAAACCCTAAAAATAAACCCTAAAAAAAAGTATAATATAATGCAAAATAAAATAATTCTTAGACAATAACTAAATTAAACCAATATTTCATTGTCTTTAGGACTATCCTAATAACTCGCAATATTACACATATGGAAAATATCCAATAATTAATAAAGAAATCAATAAATCATTATTGCAATATTATACGAATTTTGTTCTATCGCATGTGTAATTTTTATGGTTAATCGTTACTTAAAAAAGCATTCATTAATTGCTTTTAGCGAATGCAGAGAAGCACATAAGAGTACTGCACATTAGGAATTCTTTAGCGTTACGTTTTAACAATAGTGATAGTGTGAATATGCGAAAAATTATAAATTAACGCTGTTAGTTCTAATGTCTCCGTTATAATTATTATGCCACCATTTATCTACGTACGATAATGCCAAACCGCTATAGATCCATGCTCTCCATCCTGTTCTCGTTTCATTGTCGATTCTTGATTCGATACTTTGGCATAATGCTTTACGATCATGGCTTCTCCCACTTCTTAGATCACACAACAAACGTTTCCGACATTCGTCGTCACACGACGGTCGTACTGGAGAATTCTTATAATAATGTCTATAACAAATAAAAGTCATTTTAAATTTAAATTTAATTTACAATTGAATTTAAAATATACTGATCGATTGATCTTTACAAAAAATGAACTCTGATTGAAAATGTATTGATTATGAAAATGTTAATATTACTTGTAATAAATGTCAAAAAGAGAAGGTTCGTTAGACATTTTATCGATCAATGAATCCCAATCCTTCGGCAAGAGCGATGCCATTTGATATGCTTGTCTGGCACTGTACATCTTACTCCAGATAGGATAATCATAAAGATTTGCTTCTTTTAAATTCATCACCCAACTCTCATGATCGACGACCATCTGAAAAATAAAAACAAAATCGTTATCCATAGATAGATATTATTTCAAATCTTACTATCTTACCCTAGTCGTTTTTGGATGATCTCCATCAACATAATATATTCGATATCCCGGATTAAGATCATAATAAGGTGTGACTGAAGGTCCTACATAAGCTATACTTAAAGCTCTTCGAAGATCTTGAGTATCATAGAATACTTGAAACTCGTCATAATGCGTGTGTCCGAAAAATTGTGCCGTGATGGTGGATTCGTATCTAATCATTAAATTCAAAATGATTTCATACATAGAAATAAAAGATATTTTTTTTTCAAATTGTTCAAAACGTTACACGTTATACTAACCGATTGATTATATGATAATAATTCCTGGACCAAACCTTAAGACAATCCGAATGACCAGGAGGTATATGACCAATTATATGTACTTTTTCACCGTTCATTTCAGCACCTTGTAGTTCATAGACGAGCCATTGCAATTCACTAACTGGATCGGTACTGTTAATTAAAAGCCACCAATTTTTATTGTTACAATAATTCATATTCACAGAGAGAATTCGAAATCCTGGCCGCACTAAAACCGAATAAAAGGCCCCTCTTCGAACCGTATGTGAGACGCCAGCAGGTAACCAACGTCTCCAATGTTTATCTAATGCATCGTAGAGCCACGATATATTATTTTCTTCGGGTACGAAGGGTGGTGGAAAACTAAAAAGAAAAAAATACTCAAGATTATATTATATACAAAGAAAAAAAATACTTTACAGATGAAGCATACCTATTAACTGGTGCACTTTCATGGTTTCCTAATGCTGGAAATATAGGTACACCTGGAAACATTTGAATCATTTGCATAACGGTATCATGCAGAACCTTAAGATTTTCTTCTCTTGTCTGGTTCCATACATCATGAGGTGGTAAATCACCAGTCCATAATATATAATCGATATCCTATAATAAACATTACTTATAATAACATCATGTGTATTTATATCAATAAAATGAAATTTATTAAAACTTAATTAATTAACTTACTGGATGCGTTTCAGCGATATGTTTCAACATATGATCAACAGTTCTCTTTGGAGTGTCACACTTCCTGTAATCACCCCACCTACCTGCTGCAGCTGATTGTATTAAAGGAGCTCCATTCGTAAGTCTGCAGCATAATGGTTCATTACAATCAGCGTTTGCACCTTCCTGATAATAAGGATCAAAGTGTGTATCGGAAAGATGTAAAACTTTAAATGTTGGTGCATTTTCTTGTGGTGGTACAGGTGGTTTCACTGGTGGTTTTTTTACAGGTGGAAAAGCTACTTCCCATTCGTGTAAAGGATTATAAGCATCATCACAAGCATCACCAATAACAAAACTACAGATTTGAGCTGGACCCATCTCAACTTGTTTTAAAACATAAATCACTTCAGCCTAAAAAACACATGATTTATATTTTCAAATGAAATAAATATAGTGAATGTAGAAAGTATTCGTACACTGATCAATTGGAAATATGTCTTCGTAAAATTGTAGTTTATTAACTAATTTTTTATAAACAATTAATTGGTACATGTTTTTGCTAATTTCTAGAGTGGACATAATTAAAAAAAATTAATTGTTTGTATAATTTACAAAATTAGTAAGAAAAAACAAAAAAAACAGTAGAAATGCAGAAGCAATAAGTATTCGTACAGTTGCTAAATTTTTAAAAATTCATCAAGAAAAACGAAACAAGCTAATCTGATAATAAAAAAAAATAAAGTAAACAAGTAATTAATACTTTATAGGATTTCCTTTTAATTTTAAAATTACAGCAACTCTTCAAATTACAACGAATTAATTAAATTCGATGTAACACTGGATCATATTCCATTTCTCCATGAGAGCATTTTTTAGATCTTTTTTATAAAAAATTTTGTATTTTCTAATTTTACGATCCAAGTAATCCTATATGTGTTCTATCGGATTGAGATCTTGAAATTGGAGAGAAGTTTTTATATATGCTGATGTGTTATGTAATATTCACATTCTCATATTACATGCAGTATGCTTTGGATCATCGTCTTGCATAAAAATAAAATTATCCTTCATACCAATTTTTTCTACACTAAAAATAAAAATGCGCTTTAAAATGTCAATGTAAACCTAGTGTTTCACTAATCTATCAATAAATTTTAATATGCCAACATCAGCAGCACTCGTACAGTTCCTAATACAGAACTTCCATCGTGTTTCATTGTAGGTCGTAAGTTTTTTAGTTTTAGTTCTTTATTTTTTTCTCTCCAAATAGTGTCCATCAATTCGTGTCCATCAGACCCGAAAATATTAAGTTTACTCTCGTCTGTAAAACTCACTCTATTCCAGTAGTCCATCGGTGTGCTAATATTATTATTTGCGAATTGCAATCTTTTTTTCCTATTCACTTCAGTTTCAAAATATTTTTTACGGGTCACTCCACCGTGATGATTTCGTATAAAGTTACATTAATCTGTTAACATACAAGCAAGTTACACGTATCTGTTAGCATAGTGCTAATAGATACATCAATATCTAAATTATTTTTAAAATGTTAAATTATTTTTATAGCATTTATTTTTTAATTTTATTTTATTATTTTAATAACAATTCGTCTAGTATACTGATTGATTTTTCGTGAACGTTCACTTTCTGTATTATTTTGTAGCCTTTTCATCTGTTTCTATCTATTATACTTTGTATGGTATTTCTGAATATTATAATAATAAATTTCTGGTAAATTTCTGATAAACTTTTACACTGATTGTGCAATTTAATAATAATTTTTCTTTCTTCTATCGTAATTTCCGCACATTTTTATCCGTTTACAATAATAATTTTTAATAATACAAAGTTTTGAACTCTGCTGATGTTGATAATGTTTCAAACAGACTGACGAGGTCAATCATAAATAGGAAACTCTCTTGTAAGTAGTTCTTACATATAAATAAGAACTGTACGAATAATCATTGGTTTTATATTTCTGGTGATTTTTTGTTTTTTCTTGCTAATTTTGCAAATTATTCAAACAACTAATTTTTTTTCGGACTATAGCTAGTCTAGAGATTTGCGAAAATATAATATTTATCATTGTTTATAAAAAAATTAATTAATAAACTACAATTTCACGAAGTCTTATTTCAAATAAATCAGTGTACGAATACTTTTACAATCACTTTATATATAATAAAATATATATAATATACAATCAAATGTATATACTATCTACGCTCTATATATTGTTAAAAATTAATAAATAATTTTTTCTTCAAGAAGTACTTACTCCAAATACCAAAGTGACACCTTCACAAACCCGTGAACTTTGTATATTAAGGGAGACACAGAATTGATATATATTCGCCATGATTTCTTTATCACTTCTGCCATTTTTTATATAATTCTGAAGTAAACCAGCACCGACTTTGCACGCCGTACATGAAACCTTCGACATTACCGAAGTTTCAACTTCCATCATCACTTTTCTCAAATCGAGTAACTTTAGTGCCTTATCCACAAACAATGACAGGTGTCCGCTTGGTTGTACTTTTTCCATTTCCCATAGCATCCGTGAATAATTAAACTAAAAGCAAAGAAAGTTTTTCTTAAACATTAGATTTAATGAAGAATTTTTATTTCATTCCTTAGATCATACGATCTTCGATTATCGTGAAACTTTCACGGCAGCAATGTCATTGCCGCTAAATCACGTGCATATATGTAAATATATATATATATATTCATAAATGTATATATGTGTACATGTATACACACACACACACACACACACACACACACACACACACACACACACACACACATATATATATATATATATATATATATACATAAATAAGAAGCTACGTATTCGCAATTCTATCTGTTACCACGGTGAAAGTATTTTGGCACTGAAAGTGAGAGTTGGTGACACTATAGTGTTGCATAAAACAAAGTTAACGTTGGGCCAATAAATTTTTATTTAAAAAAAAAATATTAACGTGTGTCTATCACCTACGTGACATACTAGAGAGTTAAATAAAAATCGATAATTAATTCGAGAGAGAGTGAAAGAAAATCAGGCTAACGAATCTGGGTTGAGTCTTCTTTCTTTCTTAAAATATTTTAAAGCAAAGTAAAGAATTATATTTATATTGTTTTTAATTATTTGAATAAAGTGAATATTTATATAATTGGAATATTACAATTATATAAAAATTATTTACACGAAACTAATCATTTTCAAAAATATAATTTCAATTTTAAATATGGTATTTGAAATATAAAGACATTGAATATTAGATATTTTATTGTTGCATATATATGTACATCCTCAGTAGCCAATTACTTTTTTTGCGCAAAGCATATTTAAGTTACTTATGATTCATTTACAATTAAAACTTACACACATAGTCTTGTTAAATATTCAATTTTAGGAATTATTTTAAAATTATATAAGTTTCCAAAATATATATTAATTATGAATATGTATATATTAAAATTGTTTTAACGTATGACACTGTTAATAAAACATTATATTAAATAAATTGGAACATAAAAAAGTTCATCCTAAAGAAATATCCAAATTTAAAAAATTCAGGAAATAGTAACTTTTATCCTTTGTTATTGAGTTATGGTTACTCTTGTGATTGATACTTAAAAAATGCAAGATATCTACGTATAATTGTCCACGGTAATGTGTTAACAATTTTATGTGTCAACATATGTCTAGATTACTCAGAAGAAAGATAAATCGATATATAACGCACAATGTATCTAACTCATCTCGAATTATTAAGGAAGAAAGAAAAAAAAAAAAGAAAGAAAAAAAAGAAAAGGAAAGGAAAAAAGAAAAAAGAGAAGAAAACGATTTCTTACCCGTAATAATTGCTCGGTATTCGTTTGGTTAATAACAATAGTATCTGCGGTTGGCGGTAATTTTCGAAATCTATTGTTAAAGGGCAAAAGTGCAACATCAAAATTTTCCGAGGCTTTTGTTCTCTCTTTTAGCCATTCGTCCGCTAGTTTTGTCCAGTTTGTCGTAGCAATTTCCGCTTCTCGTTTCTGCCTTTCTCGGATCGGGTTTCCTGTATACAAGAGAATTAACTAGTTACCTAATTAGTACATTAGCTTAGATCAGCACAATTCAACTGGTGACTAGTCGATCAACCTTCGTACAGTTAATGAAACAATTTTATATGAATTTTTATAACAAACTTGTTAAAATTCAAATTAACGTAATTATTAATCAAGTATTTATTTCTTTTGTTTTTGTTTCTTTCTTTCAAAATTTATACAGTACGTAAAAGAATACCTCAAAGAATTATTAAACAATTAATAATATCCTTTCGTGACTCGTTTTCTTAACGTAATTATTAATTTCTCTTTGTCTTTCGTCTTTCTTTCTTTCGTTTACACAAAATATATCTATAACATATCTACAATTAATAATATTTTTTTTGTAACCCATTTTTTTTAACATAATTTGATTAAGTTTTCTTATACTCTTTAGAATAAATTAATATGAAACATTAAAGATAAAATAATTACTAAGATTCTTTCCTGATCCAACAACAAAGAAATAATTCTTTCATTTTTTTAAAAACTAAACGGTATAAATTTCATTGAAGGATCGATTATGAGAGAAAAGAATGACAATGACACGTTTTACACTTATTATATTTTAAAGAAATATTTAAACAATATCAAGTCTGTTGATAAAAATAATAATATTATTCTCTGATTACAAATAGATAATAAAACAATAATTAAAACCCTTTTCACCTACCGAAAATGTTTGATATCGTGCCAATGATACAAAATAGAATGATACAGCTCGGTGAGATCCATCTTTTAATTGGCATGCTCTATCTTCTACTCTTTGGTATCGTTATCTATAAAATAATAAATATAAACAAAAAGGTTTAAATATCAAGGAAAAAATCAAGATATTTATAATCAAAGAGAACGTTCTTATTTATTTTTGTTTTGTTTTATATTTTATTTATATATCTATTCTATACGTCATTTTATAATTTCTTTCTCGTTTTTATGAGACGATACATGTACATATATATTTACGCATGTGTATGTGTATGTGTGTGTGTAAATGTTGGCTCGCACGTTCGAAAAATGTCATTGACACAGTAAAAGCATTTTTATATAGAACCCACCGTTACTGTTACCTGTATGTGGGTCAGTGATGAACGCTCGGACAAAGTTGTCTTCGCTGTCGTTGTAGGACGTCCTTCGGACGCGCCAGAAATTTCAATTCAATTTTAATTTTTATATATATAGATATTTCTTTTATCTCTTATTTTTTTAATCAAACAACAATATTGTAATGGTTGACCTTCCGAAGGACATTTTCAACGTATTTCAACAGAATGACAAGAACAATTTTTATTTTCGAACTAACTTTATATTCTTTATTATTAAAACAATTTAAATACATATAGTTCAATGCAATTATAAATATAATTATATAATTATTATTTATATATTGAAATATATAAATAATGTATGAAACATTATAAGTAAGAAAATATCTAATTTGCAACTAAAAATTTATAATGTACTTCAAAGTGATTAAATATAATTACGTAATTAATTAAATATAGTAATAATGTGAGAAACATTGTAAAAAAATATTTAGTCTGCAATCTTGTTTAAGAGTAAAGTAAAAAAAAATAAATTTTTTCTTTGTTTTAATATTTATTTTCTTCATTATAAAATATATTCTTCACGTGATTATTGTCAAAAAAGCTCATAGAATCGATTGTAGAATACGAATTTTTTTGCAAAATACATTTCCTAACAGGGAAAAAAGTGTAGAAAATCGCACGAACGATTTCTCGAATTATCTTTTATAGGATTGTTAAATGCATGAGCATTTTAGTGAATCATGATTCTAAACGATCGCTCTGAAATAACGGAAAAAGATTGTTAAACAGAAGACGTGGATAAAGAGACCAATCGTATAATGCGTGCCATTCAAAATGAATTAGTCATATCAAACGTGCTCTTTAATAAATCTGTTACATGAGAATGCGCATGTGCACGTCTTCATTTTGAAAGACCGTTTTTTATACTTACGCGCGGGTAATTTATACGTACGCGTTTATACGTACAGTGAAGCATGTAATTCAAAAGTATTTCGTTTTCTAATCGAATATAAAAAGTGTATTACAATTAACCTATCGATTTCGTAAAATCAAAACGTAGGAGAAACTTTCCGTATAAATTAATAATTAAGTTTTGAATGTTTATGCAAATAAAACAAGTCAGAATATCCAAGAAATATCGTAATATGCAAAGGAAAACAAAACCACAAAAAATAAAGAAAAGTTAAGGAAACAATATATAATAGAAAATAAATACACAAGTAAATATAATTCCGTTCGCACTGATAATTGTATTCACAAGCATTTGCCATTAGATATTCGCACACGAACTGAATATCATCTAAAATACCTGAGAGAAGTTTCAAAGTATCAGAGACTTGAAAAAATAAGAAGAAATTCTGGCTCGACAATAAGGTGTCGGAAATTCACAAGAACGATTGGTATTTTACACGAAATTAACAATGAATCGTATACTACTCTCGTCATTCAATCATTCGATTAATTTGACCAAATAATATAGCATAGCAGAGCGCACAAGATTGGTCGACTTTATTGCTAAATAATTCGCAATCAGTGAAGAATAACCGAAAAGAAAAATGACAGAAAAACTATTGTCTCAAAATTTTACCCTTTTTCATCTCTCTCAAAGGTCAATTATGAGTTTAATTACCTTGTATATGAAAATTCTCAATAATGAGTAATTAATTTTTTAAATCAAATAGAACGTATGTTTATATGAACTATTCTAATTGTTTAAATCTTTTAAACTTACTTCTAAAATATATCCCACTTATTTTGTATCACTCTGTATAAATTATAAGCGACAAACACTTATCCTCTATTCTCATGAAAAGTTCTTATTATTTACAACTAACCATAATAATGAAAGAACTGACATATTCTGAAAGAAATATGCACGATATATAATATATAAACATAAGATGTGTGTGTGTGTGCGCGCGCGCGCGTGTGTGTGTGTGTGCGTGCGCGCGCATGTGTGTGTAGAATGAAAAACATATTTTCAGAATAAATGGCATAATAAACTTTTATGCCAAGTGTTACATTTTTCTTTATCTTTCTTTTATCAATATATTCAATATGTAAATATATAAATATATAACATGAAAGAAATATATACAATATATATATATATATATATATATATATATATATATAAATACAAGGTGTGTGCGTGCGTGAAAACGTGTAGAATAAAAAACATATTTTCAGAATATTTAATATTTTCAGAATAAACGGCCTAATAAATTTTTATTTCAAGTGCTACATTTGTTTATCTCTCTTTTATCAATATAATCAATATGTGGAAATATAAATATATATTTGCACATTATACATATTATTTACATATATATTTATATTTGCATATTATACATTTTTACAGCCTGTTAATATTATATATCTCCACATACTGTTATTAACAAATAAAAAGACATAACGCAGTAACAAGTGGCAAAAATTAAATGATTTATTTAATTAATTAACGTTTCTTTTAATTCATATAGAATACATATATCAGATTCTGAATCTTCAAAGTAAAATACGATATAAAGGTTTTCTTTTCGAAGTGGCAAGATATTAGCTTATTTCTGAAGAAACAGAAAAATCAATATATTTAGAGGTGCATCAGACCTTCAAATAATGCTTATAGAACTTCACGTAGAGATAATACACATTACGAACGGAAAAAGAAGTGAAACATGCTATATTCGCAAACTTTGTAATATCATTTCATTTCATTTATTTGAATGCTTTACTAAACGTAATATTTTAAAAATATTTTAAAGTAACGTTGAAATTTATATTGAAAATGCATATTTGTAATTTTTAAATATTTGTTGAAAATAAATATTTAACATAACGATGCTTTTTTAACTATTAACATAAATAGTTAAATATTAACCATAAATAATTTGAAATAGTTTAAATATTAACCATAAATAATTTGAAAATATTAGATACAAAAAAAAAGCTGGTCATTAATCTATAGTTAGCAATAAAATGTCTGATCTGGAAATGTTAATAAATAAAAAAAAAAAAAAAAAGTTAGGAAAATTTCCTAATTCGATTTTCTAATTGATTCAAATTTAATTTTATTTTCCAATGAATCATTTTTTATACATAGTAATTGTAGAAAGGTAAGATAGCAATTTACTAGAAGCTTTTATCGGTGGATATCATCCGATTCAGTGGGTCAGTGGGAAGAATTCGTTTCGGCGAAAGTTGGATTCGCATCGGATGCTGTACATCCTTCGTTCATGGAATATATACTCCATCTACGGCCTATCTCTTTCTATATATTTTATACTTAGTATTTTCTATAAAAAATTCTTTATAAAATATCTAAATATCATAATTATTCACAATTGAAAGCGAATTATATTTTTATGTGAAAGTTAAACACAATGTCGATTGATAAGAAATAATAAAATTATGGAAGAAGAGAGAGAGAGAGAGAGAGAGAGAGAGAGAAAAAGAGAGAGAGAGAGAGAGAGAGAGAAAGAAAGGAAGAGAAAAAGAGAGAGAGAAAGAGAAAGAAAGAGAGAGAGAGAGAGAGAGAGAAAGGAAGAGAGAAAGAGAGAGAGAGAGAGAGAGAGAAAGGAAGAGAGAAAAAGAGAGAGAAAGAGAAAGAGAAAGAGAAAGAGAAAGAGAGAGAGAGAGAGAGAGAGAAAGGAAGAGAGAAAGAGAGAGAGAGAAACTCATTTTTCTATAAACCTAATGCTATAAATAAATCCACAGTCTTATAGATTCAGTCGACATATGTAGACACATAAATCTAACAAAGAGACAGGATTATCTTTCATTATTTTAACATAAGTACACTAAGTAATAAATAACTAATAAATAACGATACTAATATTATTCTTTATTACATTGTTGTTATTACAAATTTACCTTAATTATTGGTCAACCTAATGCACAATAAAAAATATAATTATCATATTTCAATAAATATAAGAACAAAAATATCTGTATAAATATTGATTTGGTCAATAAGTAATAAATAACAATACAAGTATTTATTTATTAAAAATTCCGAGATCATTTATTGGAATATCCTAACATAATAAAATAAAATAAAAAATATATAATATATGTATAACAAATTTCAAATATATGTATATATAATTGAAGGTATGATCTTGCATGGACATTGAGAATGACACGAGAGAGCGAACGACGAACTGTGTCAAACGGAAGTACAGAAAAGGTGGTACATATGTACGTGTGCGTTGAACATCGAACTCATATAAACCCGATGGGTTTACCCTTTCGCTCGGATGAATGTATAAATTTTGACCTTATAATTATATGATCGTTGACATATCGATGATTGGTATTTTCAAACGTTAAAAAAGAGAGAAAAGGAAGAAAATATAAAAAAGGATAAATGTCTAGGACTATATCGAAAGAAAAATTCATCCTCTTCGTACTTTTTATCGGAACGTTGCGTTCCTTTGAAACAGTTCTTCTGAGAATACAGACCTAACCGTTATTCGACCTAACAAAAAAGAGATTCACTTTGGCCAGCCTACGTGTCTGTATTTCGAAATTCTCATTTCTTTTTCTTTCTTTCTCTTATAATTATTTTTATTTATCATACAATTATCTTCTATATTGAGAAAATTTCATTTTAATGAATAATGAATTGTGTGTAAAAAAAAATTTTCTTTTATATAAGACTCGATATATTCTTTGTAAGAGATCCTATATATTCTATGTAAAGAGATTCTATATATACTATATAAAAA